TTTTGGTAAATATTTATGCTTATTAATCACTTAATTAACATAATTAATTAACACTGATATCTCAATTACTGATCATCACATTTGAATAAAATTTGGTGCATAAATGCTCTAAGACAATAGACAGGCCCGATTAATTTTGGCTTGAAATTTGTTCATATTAATTCTGTAATAATAATTCATAGTTTTTTAATCACATTACACTAAAACTTGGTACATAGATATTACATTACGGAGACCTTATTACTTTTACACTCAAATCTGTTCATATTAGTTACCTGATTTACATATTAATTAATTTTCAGCTTTTCCATCAATATCTCAAATACTAGTAATTTTTAATTAATTTTTAATGTGTCTTCAATACTCTCAGCACACGGGAGTTCTTTCTGAGCTTTCTTTGATTTCATTCAGGGAACTACTGTTTTGAGGTCATCTATGTGTATTAGTCAGTACGTGTATTTGCAGCATTTTCCCATGTATTCTACTGTGTATGTATTACGCAAATTTTGCATGTTAATGTAGGTTATTATGTTTGAGCAGTACAGCTCAAATCTTTCTTTATTAGTCTTTGTTTGGACGCTGACTTATGAATTTACCTCTGTACGTGTGTGCGTCCAGACCTATATCTTAGACACTCTTGGATTGATTACACATACATCATACATATATTATACATATCATACCACCTGATTTAAAATGGCTGACTGGCGCCCATTTTGTTTCAATGAATGCAGTTCTAGTGCTATATGTCTGACATGCTTTGACTGATTATGTTCAAATTTTATATATTCATTGTACATCATGTCATAGATATACAGATTTATTGGTTTGATGTTCTGATTCAAAATGGCGGAATGGTGGCGAAATAACACAAATTTGTAGTGTTTTTAAAAATTCCAGATTTTGTATTCATCATCGTTTAATTTAAGATTGTTTGTTACAGAAATGTCACGGGGTGACAAGAAGCAAGTAGATGAAGTAACAAAGGAAACTATTGAATTAAATGGACGAGATGAAGTGATAGATTTGATATCTGACATATTAGATGAAGATCAGTATGAAGTTATTGATGGAACAACAATTTACTTTGAAGACCTTGGATATGCATCAGATGTCTTGACAACTGAGGATGCCATGGTAACAGCATCTACCATAGATATTACACAATCTGCTGGAGATGTGCTGCACACTTTGAGAGAATCATTACATCCGACAGCAGTGGAAACAATTTTACTCCAAAATTCACTATCAGATGTCCATACGACAAGTGATGTACTACAACCATCAGAAGTAGTGTTCAAATCCAATACTCATGAAGCCACTGAAAGTTTACACAACCCTGTGAGCTCAGTGGTGGAAGTAGTGGATGCCACGCATGTACAAATAGATACTGAAACAGGTGAGCAACCTAGACAAAAACAGGTTGCTAATTTTGCCACCCTACTCCTTATATAACCTACATCTAAGTCTGTAATTTTGCTAATGTATCAATAAAATATGTGAATGTGTGCTCTTAATCTTTACTGTCATGTCTACCTTAACCTTTTCACTACCAGACTTTCTCGCCCAAATTTTTCTGCACTTTTCTTTTTTATATTCTTCAATATTTTTGGAAATGAGCCAAAATTTTGAGCCAACAGACAAAATTTGAGTCAATTTTCAGTTTTACTCCAAAATTTTGGCTATTTTTGTTCCAATCTTCTAGAAGAAAATGCAGACTATAAATTGGACTATTTTATGAATTTGTGATGAAAAGAAAGAACTGGTTGTTGAAAGGTTGAATTAAATTAACTAAAACATAACATTAACTTTCCTGCTTGCACTAACGCTTTAAATGTTGAATTCTATCAATTAAAGTTTTTAAATTGAGTAATTATTTCTTATAGATACTATACAGGACTTTTTGTCACATCAAGAAGAGTTTAATGAACTTTCAAAAGTGGAATCCTGGGATCATATAGAACCATTAGATGAAGTTGATGAGAATCATGTGATTGATGAAGACACTACCACACCTAGCTATAGAATTGATGAGTTGATTGCACTACCTCCTACAGCATATCCCGATTATGCAGAAGATAATATAGAAGCCGGAAGACGTAAACTGCGTGTAGACTGGGAGAAAGATTTTGATGTGAGTTTTAACTTCTACCGTTAAAATCCTATTATAAACCGCGGTTTATATTACAATGTATCAAATAACGAATTGGGATCAACAGCTCAAGTTCGGGATGCGGTTTATATTAGGTACATATTACAATCACTAAATGGGCGTGGTAATTTTTTTCTCACATCACTTGTACAAAACAAACAATACACCGTACAATCTTTTGAATATAAGCTAACTCCAATTTAGATGTCAGGGAAGAGTGATAAACGTCATGTCACAAAAAAAATGTTCACATGAAAAAAAAAATACTCGGTATATTTAATGTAATATGCATTTATTTTTAAAATTTTCTTTGTAACGGAAAGTACATTCTTACAGGAGTTTCAAATAAAAACAAACATTAATGCATTGCTTAGTAGAAAATGATCATGGTACGGCACTAAAAATGTCTGGTACCGAGTGTGTACGGTAACACAATCCGGCCATGCTTCGGCTCACAAGTGAATAACTTACTTGTTTTTTCGGACTGTTGAAAATGTTGATTATAACTCAGTAGTGATTATAACAACGTATGAACAATAAATTCATTGAATTGTTATCAAATGCAAGTAAAATTCAACTTAGTTTCACCGTAAGCGAATTATTTTGGTCACATGTAAACGATCGCATCGATACGACTTCCGCTATGTAGTTTGAATGCACACGAGACATTGCTTGACTGGGTAGGTCAAGTCGCTAATTAACCAATCAAAATGCTGGATGGTGCCCACGTGTTCAATTTACCTTCGTTCATTTAAATATGTATGGTGAAAGAAACCCGGAAGCGATTTACCGATAATATTGTGCGATCTTTTGGCTTTGATTTCCATGGGAATACGACATGACTTTTTTTAAATCAAGAAATTAGTTGTTTTCGAAAGATAAACTGAGCATTGAAAAAGAACAGCTCATTGTCGAAAACTTGCGACACACAGACGTATTAATACAAGTGTCATGATGAGAACAGCACACAAGTGTCATGATAAGAACAGCACACAAGTGTCATGATGAGAACAGCACACAAGTGTCATGATGAGAACAGCACACAAGTGTCATGATGAGAACAGCACACAAGTGTCATGATGAGAACAGCACACAAGTGTCATGATGAGAACAGCACACAAGTGTCATGATGAGAATAGCACACAAGTGTCATGATGAGAACAGCACACAAGTGTCATGATGAGAACGGCACACAAGTGTCATGATGAGAACGGCACACAAGTGTCATGATGAGAACAGCACACAAGTGTCATGATGAGAACAGCACACAAGTGTCATGATGAGAACAGCACACAAGTGTCATGATGAGAACAGCACACAAGTGTATCCTGAATCTCCTGCCAGTAGTTATAGTCTGTAATAGCAACTAAATTTGATTTGTAAACAACAACAATATGAGTCTGACCATGGTTGTGTGTAATTTTTGTTGTGCTCTGTGTAGCACAGTTCATATTCATAAGTTTATATTGTTACTCTATGACAGACTGACGACACAATTGCAGAGGATTCTGGGACAAGCTCTGGGAAAATTAATGTGCCTTTATACAATACATGGTTTGATGATTACATAGATATTACCAATCTAATCATTGAGCCATTATTATTGATGGTAAGTATTATTGCCTAAACCGATGAGTTGTACTGGTTTTAATACTTGAATATTCTTTAATTGTATAACTTTATATTTGACAGCAAAATACTCTTTATCGAAGTGATCTACCCACATTATTTTAATTCACACACAACAAAAGTATGTTTTGGTAGCTTTTTGTCTCAACTAATGACTCAAGTTTAATAAGTTAGCTTGGCACTGACCTCTGTGTGATCACTTGAAAACTGCTTGTGTTGCTGACCATGGTACTAGGCTGTCTGTCTGGGTTTGCTTTCTTTACAATCATGGTAGACAGCTCTCTGTCATGCCATTGTAGGGGTACTACTGGGCTTTCTTTCATTACCTCTGCTGTCATTGGTTTGGATGATTGTAAGTCTGTCTTTGTTTTTTTTAAAACACCTTCTTTTTGATAATTTTTAACTTTTAATATTTTCTTTGGATGGACCTCCATAAGATTTGATCATTTTGTTACAATATCTTAAATTCTCTATTTTTGATGAGTAGTTTTGTCATTTTTTGTCAAAAATGGCATTTGACTTCTATTTGATGACTGCTAGTTTGAATTAATACTTGGTATATATGTGCCTTTGGGGGAGCTCTCATTTTGTGACATAATGTGAACTCTCTGTTAATTTACAGACATATTCTATAACTGGCATTGATGAATCCAAAACTTTGGTACTATTAAACTTATCTGAATCAGTAATAAGATCTAAACAGTAAATAAGATGCAACATTTAAATAGAATGTAAACAAATCCAAGATTATTTACAGTTACCCCTTGCTAAGACGTGGGTGTCGAGATCCAAGCAAAAACCATGACTTATCAGGGATTCTGATTTACCAAGGGCCTCGTGATATTTGGATTCATGCATTAAAAATGGATAAAAAAAACATATACACACATGGGTTTATTTATAGGACGTTTTTTTTTATTGAAAATCGTCACAGCATCCATGTCTGCCTGCAGCTTCGCCTTGGATCAAGACTTTGTGTATAGCATTTTTTTTTGCCAACTTAAATTCTCTATTTTTGATGAGTAGTTTTGTCATTTTTTGTCAAAAATGGCATTTGACTTCTATTTGATGACTGCTAGTTTGAATTAATACTTGGTATATATGTGCCTTTGGGGGAGCTCTCATTTTGTGACATAATGTGAACTCTCTGTTAATTTACAGACATATTCTATAACTGGCATTGATGAATCCAAAACTTTGGTACTATTAAACTTATCTGAATCAGTAATAAGATCTAAACAGTAAATAAGATGCAACATTTAAATAGAATGTAAACAAATCCAAGATTATTTACAGTTACCCCTTGCTAAGACGTGGGTGTCGAGATCCAAGCAAAAACCATGACTTATCAGGGATTCTGATTTACCAAGGGCCTCGTGATATTTGGATTCATGCATTAAAAATGGATAAAAAAAACATATACACACATGGGTTTATTTATAGGACGTTTTTTTTTATTGAAAATCGTCACAGCATCCATGTCTGCCTGCAGCTTCGCCTTGGATCAAGACTTTGTGTATAGCATTTTTTTTTGCCAACATCAGAACAACCCTGAACTTGATTCAAATTCAAAGTTGTTAGCTCTGAGTTGTTTTGTGAGGATGCATGCTTTGCATTGGTTGATGAAACCAGAGAGTGGCATTTCCGCAGACTGTTCTTGAAGAAACCATACGTAAACAGCTATATTGATGTCATCATTGTTGAATCATTTCGCACAATTTATGTTCAGTCCACCTCCGTTTTTCTTTATTCTTTACCCACGAAAAGTGAACTCACTGATCATGCCAGATCATGTTCAATGTTCACCTTTCTTGAGACAGTTGATCGCTATGATTTTTTTTTTACGTATAGACAGACTGGATAGCTTTAACTGGATAGTAATGGATTCAACTTATTGTAGTGAGTTATATCAAAGAGGGGACCAGCCGAGAAGTATGTAAAGTTGCAACTTGACGCCTCGCAATCACCCTTTGTATCGATGGACAGCAGGTGTGGAGTTGTCTCCTCCAGCCCTTTAACTGCTAATTAAATACATTAGAAAACAAAACATTAGTTCTGTTACTTCAAAACACATTGGAGCCATCCAACTACGTGCTAGAATGCTCTGCTGACATAGCGGAGCTATTTCAATCATCTGGTCGCTTGTTTCATGTACTTATGGTGGCTTTTGCTATGCAAGGAGAAGATATTGCGTAGTTAGTTTGTTATCCATTCATACATTTGTTATTTATTCTATGTTCTCAATGGACAAGGTTGTAATAGTTGTGCTATGTTTTTGTCTTCAAGATGCCAGAAAGCATGCGTATGTCATTGCAGGGAGAGGACTTTTATGGTATTCCATGGGCAGGTGTTTTTATTACCTTGATGATTGGAATTCTAACATTTGGTTTGTTGATCTGTAAATGTGCTTATGGAGTAAGTATATACATGTGATAACAGTGTGTTATATTTAATGCAAATAATATCATTGTCAAAATTTCCTATTTAATGCATTAAGTATTGGTATTATTGTCTAATTTATTTCTGGAACATTTTAATCTGGTTTATGTAATTTAAAACAATCTTATTGCTCAGGAAAAGTACCAGTGTTTTGAAAACATGACCAATCGTAAATAAAAACATTAATTTTATACTGGTAATGAAAACCAGATATTAGTAATATGCTAAATTTAGGTTTCTTCTTCATTCCTATTAGTTGTCCGGTAAGAAGATGGTTGACCCTGAAGGTATGTGTCATCCTGTCACTTTTCTCCACTTCCTTGTTACCCTGACAAAGAGACATTCTCTGCTATGTGACTCGTAAACATGCTATGCACATGAATAAACAAGCAGAAATTATGATGGTCATTGAAAGAAAGTAAATAAAAAAAGATAACATGATTAGCACTGGCTAGTTTAAACAACTTTTACGATGGTGTGTTGATGCTATGACACGCATCAACTGCACCCACGACTGAGTCCTGATATTTCATCCTGTTTTAGTACATACGTTTTGTTTGGTTATTTATTAAATACAAATTGATACGATTGAATGAAATAAATTGAAAGGCAGTCACATTATGATCTTTTATTTATATTAAATGTGTGCGAGTCCCTCACTATTAGTTTAACGTCCCCAGTTGAGGTTGGTTTGATCCGACTTGTTCTCAGATCCACATAACAAATAGCAAAAGCTATTGTTCAAAACAATATGTTTTTCATATTGACAATGTTGTAACATTGTAATTTAAAATACTATATATGCAGTATATGACATGTAATAAAACATTTCCTACGACATTCAACACTTTTTATGAAACTAAGTCAATGCATTTGCAAATATGAATACAAATTTAACTGAATCAACTTACCCATGTGCAGTTCTTAATGGCTTTTGGGATAGAGGTAATTAACAATAGAAATCATGCATGGGCATTTGACTACCAGTCTTCTTAGCGGGTTTGAGGAGAGCAGATTAAAAATGAAAATCATGAAAAAACCTACTTGCAGAGCTGACTCAAATCATTATTCTTTATCAACATGCCAAGTTTCATTGATATCTACCACATTTGAGAAAATGGAGGTAAAATTACAGACACACAGGCAGTAAAAGCCCAAGTTCATAGCTCCTTTTTCATGCCGAGCGGGCACCAATAAACAGTGTTTGGCATATAATACGCAAATTCTTGTCTTGTATATTTTCTGCATTGTCATGGTGAGCAAATTCATGTTTCCAATATTGAATGTTACCAATGCTAGCCCTGTGTTTTTAATTTACCAAAATATATCAAATATTTATAGCAGTATATTTGATCAAAGATGCACATTTTAAATATGAAAAATACAATACATGATTGAATACTAAACTTGAATTTGTTCCATGATGGTTCCAAGACGAAACATAATGGTTTTTTCTGTGAGAACCTGGTGACTATTGTGGTTTCAAAACTCAACATTTGAACAAGTCATCACCTGTTTCTCAGGAGTGCTTGTACGTTACATTCAAGCATGGTATTGGGTCACTGATGCATTTTGATTTGTAATTACATGGCTGTATGCTGGCATTTGGGTGGTACATGTATGTACATGGTTATGAATATATTATCACATTCTTGCTCATTCTTTGCAGTTGTTGAAAAGCAGTTAAGACAACAGGTACAAGTTTTAAAAGATGAAAAAGAGGATATCCAAAATTCACTTGTCAATGTTGAAAGACAGGTATGTTTGTCACCCTAAATCCCTTTTGGTCACTAAAACTGTAATATCATTAAATATTAATATGCCAAAGAAGTCTTAAAACAGACAAAATATATATGGATATTACACTTATCTATACAGCTGTTCATAAAGGTGATTGACTGTCAACATATGTCGTCCATCAGCCATCCATCACCAGCATGCTATCTGCCCATTAATTGTGTGTCAATATTTCTATTTTCAATTTATTCAGCTCAATTGCTTTGATGGTAGTACCTTGGGTAGACCTTTTTGTAAGATTTGTTTGTTATGACAATGGTTGCTTTGTTGAGATTCACTGCATCCTATGACAGTAGTTGAGATAGATTCACTGCATTCTATGACAATAGTTGAGATAGATTCACTGCATCCTAGAGTGTTTACGTTTTTTATTATAGGTACATTCATTACGGAGTGATTTAGAAAATAAAGTACTATGTATAGCTGATCTGAGTGACGCTAAACAAAATCTAGAGGTTTGTGTTGTCAGTTAATTTATTTACTATATTTAAAAACAATCTGACTAATTAGTCCCCGTTCGGACGCAGTCCGAAAACGGGGACTTATGTTTTGCCCTGTGTGCGTTCGTCCGTCCGTCCGTGTGTCCGTGCGTCCGTCCGTGATCACCTGTATCTCGAACATGCATGGACCGATTAAGTTCAAACTTCACTCATACATCACACATTATATGGGACATATGCACATGCATTTTTTTCATGATCCGATTAACGATAGCCAAATGGCGGCCGCTTTAAGGCCGAAAATGCATTGAAATCGCACATTTTCATCATTCCGGACCCGGATCTCAGTTATGCATGGACGGATTTCATTCAAATTTGGTACATACATTAAACATAATGGGACCTTGATGCACGTCATTTTTTTTTTGGATCAAGTTCGAAATAGCCGACTGGCGGCCATTTTGTTTTAAAGAATTCCGTTCTGGATCCGTATCCAAGACATGTCTGGATTGATCAAGTTCAAACTTCACACACACATGGTACATCATGTCACAAATAGATATGTGCATTTGTTTCATGATCTGCTTAACAATAGCGGAATGATGGCCATTTTAAGGCCGAAAATGCATCAAAATCACGTATTTTCACAATTCCAGAACCGGATCTCAGTCATGCATGGATGGATTTTGTTCAAATTTGGTACATACATTAAACATAATAGGACCTTGATGCACGTCTTTTTTTTTTTCGGATCAAGTTCGAAATAGCCGACTGGCG